TTGTCGTTGGGACCAACGAAAACTGGGTCGTCTTTCTGCTAGGTTTCCATTTTTCTAGTTTTCAGAAGTTTGTCAGTCGGGTTTGGAGATGGTTTTCTGTTCGCGTGGTTTGTGCGTTCTGCTGTGGTTTGTACGCGTGGGGAAGATGGAAGGAGAGTATTAGATTAGATTAGATTGGATTGGTTTCTATTTGGGGGCCATGCTAAAAGGAAGTGTGAGATTGTTTATGTTTTCCACGTGAGGCCTTTCCAAACCGAGGCCGAGGGGGATCGGTCCTACCCAAACCTTCGGCTGAATCGGTTTCCTTTTGGCCGAGTCCGACTCCCTTCCTCCCTCTCACGGTTCCGAGTTATGTCAAAACACTTTGGTGAATTTTTGTTTGGTGTCGGTTTCAAGATCTGTTTGGAAAAAACGGAACGGGCATAAATTTAGCATTTCATTTTTGTATAATTTTGATTTTTAGGTTTGCACTTTATAGTTGAGTCCCTATAATTTTTCATTTACATTTCAGTCCTTTTAATCTTGCATTGAAGTGTTTGAGTCAGTTTTTGTAAAAAATGAGAGAAAAAAGACAGAAATGTGCATAAAAAAGAGAGAAAAGAAAAGCCGCAGCAAAAAAAAGAGAAAGAAAATAAAAAGAAAAGAAAACAAAGAAAAAAAGAAAGAAAAAAGAAGAAAGAGGAAGGAAAAGAGAAAATATTGTTATCTTTGAGCTGAACTTCATATATCAGAGTGTGCTTGAGTTGTTCCTTGTGCTATCTTGTGGTATCGTTTGTGTCTAGGCTCGCGTCTCTAGTATGTTCCAGCCTAGGACCAGCACGGTACTTGACTTTGAACCATTATTCAACTTCGCATTCTATGATTTGAGCATTTGCTCATATTTAAGCCTACCCAGAGCTCCATAGATCTGATTGCAGTCGTACAGCAAGTGTTTGCGAAGGCATCGATACATCCAACCTCCATTGGGGTGCTTGGTTGTGTTGGTATATGTCACCATTCCGCTTGCATTGGTAAGATCTTGTAAGAGCTTGGTTAAAAACTTGAGTGTGTGTGATAGTTAAGCCTCCACTACCTAGTAGATAATAGGAATGTGCATATTTCTGTGTATATTTCTTATTTTCTACTAACAATTGTAGGGATACACAAGACAATTGGGGATAACTGTGCTCAACATCGACATCTTCGTCAAGACAAGAGGAGTGATCAATATGACCATTATGAGGTAAGTGATGTTGTTCTAGCTAAGATCAAATCTGCACTGCCTTATTTTGAAGGAAATTATGATTCTCGTGCTTACATTGATTGGGAGCTTGCTGTTGATAGAGAGTTTGGAAAGCATGGCTTATCCGAGAAATCAAAGGTTATGTGTGCCTCTAGTGTTTTAATTAAAAATGCTTCTAGTGATTGGAAATATCTTTATTTGAGAGATGTTTAGGTTCCCATGTATTATACTGACATTCTGTTCAACAAACTGCATTGTTTAAAACAAGATTCCAGAACTGTTAATTCATACTATAATGATATGCATGCTTGTTTATTACGTTGTGGTTTAGATGAATGTGAAGAGGCTACAGAATTGAGGTTTTTACGTGGGCTTAACAATGAAAATCAGGGCATGCTTGCTTGTTAAAGTTATAGCTCTTTTGCTCATTTATTACAACTTGGTTGCAATGCGGAAAAGCAAATTGAGGATGTGAATAAGCAACAAGTTGTGCCCATTCCTCCTGTTGGTAATATTTTGCAAGAAGTGAACAACTGTAACAAGAAGGGGAGAAACATGACGGATCCGCCTTTCTCACCGCTTCAATTGAAGTCCAGTGCACCTCCATCTTAATAGGGAGAGAGCATCAAAGGTAAATTAAATGACGTTGAGATTAAAAAAGGTAAGTGTGCCGTTAATGAATTGAAATTGTGCACTTTTCATGCTATGATAGAGCAACCATTAATGGTGATTCCTTTGTCACAAGTTGATTTAATTGTTGTTCCTTGTGATAAAGAAGAGTTGTGTGATAATGCTTTACTTATATCTATACCACAACTAGTGAATGAACATGCTATTCCTACTGTTAATTCTTACTGCGCTGATTTTAAGCATGATATTCACATTGCTAATGAAGTAGGGGAACGTGAATTGCTATCTTCTTTCAATACTTTGGGCTATGTTCGGTTTGATGATTTTTGTGAGTTTGATAATTTGAAGGAGAAATTATTCGCTAAGTCTGATTTGCCATGTCCAACCAATACTATTTTTCATATCTTTGGCGAATATAATGATAGCAAAATATACTTGGTGCATAGAGTTTATATCTGTTCAGATTTAAAACCTCCTGTAGATGTGGACAAAACTTGCAAGCTAGAGAGATATGTTATTGCTAATAATATTATCTCGAGTTTGTCTTGTTTTGATTGGAAGAAATAGGTTGTTCTAAATGGACTACGCGACAAGCACCATATGGAAAAACCGAGGACGGTTTTCCGTGAAGAAGGGGAAGATGATGTGAACATGGCTACCATTGATACAACCATTGCTCACATCATGGATCAACAAAAAGACATCAAGATCGAGTCCTCCAAGTGCTGGAATCCGATTCGGCTACCTTGCTGATTTCAAATGGATCTACGTTGCTGATTTCAAATGGCCGCCAAATCTGTATATGACCTTCGTTTTTGACCCATTAGTACTTGATGGAAAGCTCTCGGAGTCCTCTTTCCAACAGATCCAGCCTCATCTCCGAATTCCATGTCATTTTGACGCAATCACAGAAAAAATGTGTTGTGTCACCTGTAATCGGCCTATGGACTTGTAACTTCGCCAAGGACCCCGACCCAAGTGGGGCCCATGTGGGGTGCACCCCAATCAGATGGAGCAGGACTCTAGGGTCCCTTTGGTCATCTTCCCATCGCTATAAATAGCTAGGTAGCCCTTCAAGGTTTCTCGGGTTTTGTTAGATTAAAGTTTAGCCATTGCTACTTGCTTGCAACGCGCGTGTCGGCTAGACCGTCAGTCTGCCTGTTCTTCGGAACCCCAACTCATCATTGTATTCAATTCCTATTTGCAATATCAGATTGCTTTTATCTTGTTCTTGCTTGTTTCTTCGATTTCCTTGCAGGAATATGGTTGATTTGCCCAGGCAAGATCAACAACCCACGGAGAGGTGTATCGATCGCTAAGGCGCAATGCAACGTCTTGAACGGTTGTAGTCGGGTCGTCAATATTTCTCCCAAATCGTAGTTATCTCAACTCACCGAAAGATCGGGCCAACAACAGCCTTTAGTTACGAGTGGAACTTGGGGTTCATCAGGGGGCGGCGGCAGCCCGGCAGCAGGGCGGCAACGGCGCTGACGGTGGCGGCGCGGTACGGGCGGTGGGCGGCTAAAGCGGCGTCGCAACTAAACTAGGGTTAAGCTACACGACTACACAACAAACTAAACACAGGGGAAACGGTATGGGTTCCTCACCGAGAGAACGACGGCGACGGCAACCCGGCGAGAATGACAACGACGATGCTAGAGGAAACCTAATTGGAATAGATTAAACGGATGGGTTAGGGTTGCGGACAAAACATCACGAACACAATTGTAGGGAAGCTCACTGGCGATGCGAAGGCGACAGCGGCGACCGGCGGCGTCAACAGGGCCAGCATGTAACGGTCCGATTTTCGTTCGGGAATAAAAATCATTTAATAATGCTTTTTCTAGAAATCTATAGTAATATAAAAAGTACGAGTTCATCCACAATCCTGCAATCCTTCACGTGGGACCCACCCCCACCTATCATCCGGCCCAATCAAACAGTGCACCATACCACATCGTGCATGGAAAAAAGTATGTAAAAAAAAACTAATCCAAACCTCCCCACGCCGTCCAGTCCCCCGCCGCTACGGTTCCCGATCCAACTGCCGACGCCGCTCGTCTCATCTGCTGGCGCTGGGATGTCATCCGCCGGCGCCGGGATGTGCCCCGCTCCACGCGGTGTTCCGTCTCCGTCGAACCGCTGTCGCCGCAGGGAGGCCTCCACACAACGGACTCTAGCTCCCTATCCAACCGCCGACACCGCGGGGAGGTGGGTAGGGACTCGGGAGAGGGCAAAACGGGGCAAGGGGAGGGAGGGGACCAGGTTTTATAGGCCAAGGAGGGAGTGCCGACCACGGGAGGGGACGGGAACAGCGCCGGAGGAGGTGGCCGGTGGCATCAATGATGGCATTTGAATGAGCTTCAAATCTCGACGATTGGGGACGGGATTAGAGGGAGCAAGTTAGGGTAAATAATGATTAGGGTATGGGGATTCCATTTTTGCAATTAATTTGACCGGAACTCGCGCGGGGGAGCGGAATTAGGAGCCGGCGGCGCGTAGGGTTTCACGGGAGAGGGAAGAGGAGGCCGGCGGGAGGAAGGGGACGAGTCTGACCGGTGGGACTTGCGGAAGGCACGGTCAGCGCGCAAGCGCACATGTGTTGCGCGTGCGACGCGTGAGGGGGAGTGGCGACAGGTGCTTGGCAGCTCGGCTTGGGCCAGGCGGCCGAGTGGCCGCGGCCCAGGTGGGAGAGGAGAGAAGAGGTGGGCCGGAAGGCACTACACCATGACATAGTGTCTATGGAAGTGTATCTGCCCTAGAAAGTTGTTTTTGTGGCAACTCATCTTCCAAGAAAAAGCATTCCCGGCACTAGCTACCTGCCCTACAAAGTCCTGTAGGGAATGCCCTTTGCCGGCAGATACCAAATCCTCGGCAATTAACTGCTGTAGATGCAATTTGGCTTCCCCAGCATATGTTCAAATTACCGGCAGTTAAATGCCCTAAATGCTTCAAACATCCTCAGCACCGCGTTCAAGCATCATTGGCAGTTATAGGTTTTGCTGGCACCAAATCAATTATATGTCTTGTAAAATAGAACAAAAATTTCAGATTGCACAGACATTAATTCACCATGCATTCAATAATTCAGGCTGAACAGGTTGCACAGATTGCAAAAATTTCAGATTGCACAGATACATCAACACACTGCAGAAAACATTCCACTGTAGGGTTCCATACCACAGTTTCAGAAATAACAAATTCATTAGTAACAATTATGTTGAATCATAGAGTATATGCATACAAGAGTACAGATAATTCTTAGCATTCATTAACTTTAAGTAACATCTCATCCAAATAATATAAATACAGAGATAACTTCAATGGACAAGTGATATCTTTAGTAGGTCTTTGTTGTTGGGACAAGTGATATCTTTAGCAGGTCTTCATTCAGAAATAACTTCAGGAAAAAATCTTCAATGAACAATTTCTGGGACAAGTGACACCGTTAGCAGAACAATTTCAGTAGCCCTTCTAGTTATGACCTAAAAATAATGGTTTGGAATCTGTGAGCAATCTTGCGTGTAGAATATAAAGAACTATCTATCATAATATAAATACATTCTTGATCACGAACTAACAAGACTCCATGCAAACAGGCCAGGATCAGAGGAACAAAATAGCTACATATGCAATCAATATATATTATTGAGGGCACTAGCTTGATCATGCAGCACCAATAGGGAACACTTCAGACTTTCCAAGTTAACAGTCTATCCAACAGACAACATAATATCACAAGGATAATGTGAGATGGGAAATCACATCAGACCATATGCCCTTGTCACTGTAGCACATGATCGACAACATAACCTCCCAAAAGGTTTCATGTTGGATAAAATGTTCTAGGTAACTAAACTACCTAAAATGAAATAAATTTTCATTCTAGTCCATGTGGTTAATTTGATATAAATAATCATAGGCTGCAGTCCTAAAATTAAGTGATCTTGCGGTAAGGTTCAGAAACTATATTATTCTATGCAAGCCACTCATATCCAGCATCACATGTTAGGAGCGAGGATGAATCGCTCCCAACCTAACACCACCGGTAACTCACGCTAGAACAGGGATAGAGATTAGAGAGAACAGAGGGGTTTAGCGAAGATAGATTGGATTAATTTCTGCTTAACATTAACCATAACTTGATGGCTATAAATAGCCTTACATCCGAACTGATCTTTAACTAAATAAAAGGGATAACAAAACTATCCTAACAACCTGATAACTGCGTGCCTAATTATTCTCCTCGCGCGGTACTGTAGCACGGCCGGCACGCTATTCGTCCCGACGTCGGCGGTGGAATGGAATTCCCCACATAACATCTCTCTCCGCCTCGACAAGCAGCTCGTCCGCGAGCTGGAACGCTGGGTAACGCTGCTGGAACTCTTCAAGGTCTTCCCACGAGGTCGCCGAAGATGGCAACCCTTCCCACTGGACCAACAGCTGGCGGACGCCACGGGCGAGCCTGGCGCGCAAGACCTGGCGTGGAGACGGAAGGACTGCTCCATGCTGGACTGGTGGCAATGCGGGTGGCGACATGAGCGGCGTCCCGACGAACGGCTTCAGCAAGCCCACATGAAAGACGTCGTGCAGCCGGGTCCCGGGCGGCAACTCCAAGTGATAGGCCACCTCGTTGACAACGGCGATGATCTTGTATGGTCCATAGTAGCGAGGACGCAGCTTTCCTTTTGTAGCGTCCAGCAACGAGGCTGGCAAACGGTGACGAACGCGGAGCCATACCCAGTCCCCGATGGCAAATGAAATGTCCCGGTGCTTCTTATCATAATATTGCTTGGCGTGTTGCTGAGCTTGCTCCAGGCATACACGAACATCTGCCAGGAAGGCATCATGGTCCTCCATTGACTTGGCCACCGCCACCACACGAGTCTCGCTGGTGTCATATGCACGGACGGACGGGGGATACCGGCCATAGACGAGGTTGAAGGGCGTCGTGCGGAGCGCCGCATGAAAGGCGGTGTTGTAGACATATTCCGCCCACGGTAACCAATGGAGCCACTGTCGCGGCCGATCGCCTGTGAATCATCGGAGATACATGGCAATTGTCTTGTTGACCGCCTCCAAATGGCCATCTGACTGGGGGTGAAACACCGAACTGTGATGAAGCTTGGTGCCGGTCGCCGTGAAGAGAGCCGTCCAGAACGCCGAAGTGAACACTGGATCCCGATCAGAGACAATTGACACGGGAACACCATGTAGCCGAACGATGTCTGCGAAGAACGCGCGTGCCACCGTCTCCGCCGTGTAGGGGTGTGCGAGGGCGATGAAGTGGGCATATTTGGAGAAGCGATCCACGACCGTCAAGATGACGGTCTTGCCGGCAACGCGCGGCAACCCCTCGACGAAATCCATGGCGACATCGGACCAGACGGCCATCAGAATCGGGAGAGGACGCAGTAATCCCGCTGGATGCAGGTGCTCCGTCTTGTTGCGCTGGCATGTGATGCAGCCCTGAACGAAGTCGCTGACGAGGTGGCGGTCGTTGGGCGTGTGGAAGTCGCGGCGGAGGCGGTGCAGCGTCTTCTGGATCCCCTCGTGCCCTTCCTCGTGGGCGGCCGCCACGATCGTCGAGAGCCATGGCGAGCCCGGTGGGACGTAGATGCGCCGCTTGTAGGTGACGAAGCCATCAGTGACCGTCCACGGTGCGCCACGTGTACCGGCGGCGATCTCGTCACGGAGAGCTAGCAACACCGGGTCGGACGACGTCGCCGTGCGCAGGTCATGGAGTAGGTCGAACACCGGCGTCGTGAGAGCGAGGAGTTCTCCCTTCGGTGGTGCGCGACGGGACAAGTCGTCCGCCGCGGCATTCTACTTCCCTGGTTTATACTCCGCAGTAAAATCAAATCCCAAGAGTTTGCTTACCCAATGATGTTGTGGGATCGTCGACAAGCGTTGATCAAGGAGGAACTTGAGGCTATAGTGGTCGGTCTTCACCGTGAATTGCCGCCCCCAGAGGTACGGCCGCCAATGTCGGATCGCTTGCACCAACCCGATCAGTTCACGTTCATAGGCGGCAAGAGCTTGATGACGTGTGGCGACTGGTCGGCTGAAGTAGGCGATCGGCCCAGCCCCTTGGAGAAGCACGGCCTCGAACCCCATGCCCGATGCGTCGCACTAGACCGTGAACGCCGATCTGAAGTCTTGGAGTGCGAGGACGGGCACGGTGGTGAGGGCGAGCTTGAGCCGCTGGAACGCGTCGTCGGCCGGCGGCGACCAGGTGAATCGATCCTTGCGGAGGAGCTGTGTGAGTGGCGCCGCAACTGTGAAGAAGTCCGGGATGAATTTGCGGTAGTACCCTGCCAGGCCGAGGAAGCCACGAAGATCCTTGGGCGATCGCAGGCGCGGCCACTCGACAACGGCCTGAATCTTGGACGCGTCCATGGCGACGCCATGGAGCGACACGATATGCCCCAGGTATGCGATGCTGGCGTCCCCGAACGAACACTTGGCGCGCTTGACGAAGAGTCGGGCCGCTCGGAGCGCGGTGAAGATGGTGCGCAGGTGCTGTAGATGCGACGTCCAAGACGGGCTGTAGATGAGGATGTCGTCGAAGAAGACGAGGACGAAACGGCGGAGGAACGGCCAGAGCACATCGTTCATGAGTGATTGAAACGTTGCCGGCGCGTTCGTCAGGCCGAACGGCATGACGAGAAACTCGTAGAGCCCATCATGTGTGAGAAAGGCCGTCTTGTGGACATCATCGGAGTGCATTCGGACCTGGTGGTAGCCGGACCGCAAGTCGAGCTTGGAGAAGATGGTGGCGCCGTGTAGTTCGTCTAGGAGCTCGTCGACGACAGGGATGGGGTATTTGTCCTTGTGCGCTCGTTGAGAGCCTGATAATCGACGCAAAAGTGCCACGACCCATCCGCTTTCTTCACCAGCAGCACCGGCGAGGAGAATGCCGACGTGCTCCGGCGGATTAAGCCGTTCTCCTCCATCACACGGCATTGGCGCTCCAACTCATCCTTGTGGCGAGCCGGGTAACAGTATGGGTGTATTGCCACTAGCGCCGACCCGGGTAGTAACTGGATGCGGTGTGTGCGGTCCCGGACCGGTGAAAGGCCCGTGGGCTCGGCGAAAACGTCCGTGAACTCCTCTAGCAGCGAGTCCAAGTGCGCCGAGGGACCGCACGCTAGGGCGCGTGGCCGCTGGTGCCCCGGCAGTCCGTGGAGGGTGACGCAGTGGTCGCGGTGCCAGAACGACATTGTCAGTGCCGTGAAGTCCCAAAGGATCGGGCCCAGTGTCGCGAGCCACTGTGTTCCCAGTACCAGATCATAGCCGCCCAGAGTTAGGACGTACACGTCCGTGGCGAATTCCTCGCCGGCGATCTGGAACGGCATGTCGGGGAAGACGCCGGGGCACGCCACCTTGTCGCCGTTCGCCACCGTGACGTTGAGGCCCGAACGAGGTTGAGGATCCCGGCCGACACGCGCCGCCGCATCCTGAGACAGGAACGTAGGCGTGGAACCGGAGTCGATGAGGGCATAGAGGTCAGTGTCGCCGAGGTGGACCATGATGTGCATCGCGTCGGACACGCGAACTCCGGTCGCCACATGCAGAGAAATCCGGAGGGTTGCGGGTGCGGCCGCCGGGTCATCGGTGGAGTCAGTGTCGGCGTCGTCCTCCCCCATCTCCAGGAAGAAGAGGCGGCGGCACACGCGGTTGTGACCGCGGGAGTACGGCTCGTCGCAATTGAAGCACAGGCCTTGGCGGCGGCGCTCGTCCATCTCCAACGGCGATAGACGGCGGATGGCGCGGTTAACCGCGGGGGGCGTGCCTGCTGGTTTGGCAGCGACGGCCGGCTCTGGAGCCGGTGCCGGCGGGTTGGCCGCTGGTGGCAGCGGCAAGAGGCCGCGGCCGGCGTGCCGCGGTGGGCGAGGTGGACGCGCAGCGTGGTCGCGGCGTTCGAACGAGCGGGCGAGGCTCATTGCCGCTTCCAATGTCGTCGGATTTTGCATCTGCACATCTAAACTCATTGGCTCTTGTAATCCAATCGTAAACAGTTGTACCTGCTGATCTTCGGAGAGGTAGCCCGCGCGAGCCAGCAGGTCGAGGAAGTGGTCGGTGTAGTCGTCCACCGTAGACGTGCGCCGGTAGGCCGCGAGCTCGCCCAGCGGTGCTGAACGGAGTAGGGGGCCGTAGCGCATGTTGAGGAGCTCCGAAAAACGGTGCCACGAGGGCGGCCCATGGTCACGCTCCAGACACGTATACCACTGCTGCGCTCCGTCGAGCAAGTGGTAGGAGGCCAGCCACACCTTGTCATCTTCCGGCGTGCGTTGTCCCCAGATTAATTGCTCACACCGGTTGAGAAAAGGAAGTGGATCGTCGCGGCCGTCGTACTTGGGGAAGTCGAGCTTGTGGTAGCGTGGGGGTCGCTCGCCATCACCATCATAGCGGTGACCGAATCGACCGTGGAAGCCGCTCCGACCGCCGTCCGGGCCAAAGCCATCACCGCCGCGAGCAAAGGGATCGCCGCGGCCGAAGTAGTTGCCGCCACGGCCTCCGCCGAGGCCGCCACCGCCACCTACGTCGTCGAAATGAGGGGACTGTGCGCGAGCCCCACGCTCCAGACGATTGATGACCATGTTCTGATCGCGCTGCTGCTGATCGAGATCAGTGATTTGGCCGCTGAGCGCGTCGAGGCGTTCCAGGACTTCCTCGAAACGCCGGCGCCAAACGTCGTCGTTGTTGGCACCGTCTGCCATCGGAGCCGCAGAAACGCGAAGGATCGAAAGGAATCTGATACCGAGCACATGGGTAGCCGAGCCATGAAACATTTTGCTGTTGGATTAATGCTTGAGACATCAGAGAGAGATGCAAAAGGGAAAAGATATTTTCCTTATGACATTTAAGTGGTTGCCCATTTCCAGATCAACATAACATTTAACGAAATCCTTACGTATAGGAGTACAACAGGTTACCGTACTTACATGACTGACTTTATTGAAACAAATCAACTTCCTATCAAAAAACTATATTCATCCATGAGCATAGCTTATAAGCAAACGAAATTGATCGATGAAGACAACTAAATTACCAACATGTTATATGCAGGGCAGAGATATAGCAAAACAATTTGTAGCTTGCATATAAGGTGCATTATACTTATATGTAGACATACAAGACAGAGGGTTCCTCATGTGTGTAATATTGGCTAACACAAGTATTTAGCCCTAACGCTTCAAGAGTCATTGCTGCCATGATGCACATATTCAGGGAGTGAAGATGAAATCTCCAAATTCTAAAGGTATCAGAATTCAGGTGAAAACTACAAGAACATAGATGGCTCTGAAAAATTTAGGTGAAATCTTTGTACTACTGTATCTCTGAATTATGTTCATGTATGTAGCTACATATTCAGAGTTACAAGCTGCCAAAGAGCTACATATTCAGAATTATGTAGCATCCGATGGTTCACTGTTTCGGATCAAGACATGTGCTAAAATTAGTGAGCTGGTAGCCCAATCTGGGCGGTGCAGCGTGCTTACTTGCAGACTAATTCGAGTGAATCACAGGCTAACCAGGCCTATCGGTCAACAAGTATATGTCAGGTAAAAAACATGTAGTGCTAAGGGAATACTGTTCATTAGCTCAAACAACACCATGGTTACCTTGTTGATCTATGATTCAAGGTTACCTCCCTTGTCATTCTCCCAATTCTAAGTACACCCGAAACAAATTTTGATTGCAATCGGTGCAAAATTCGTTAAACTACAGAACAAGCAAGCTGGTCAATCAGTTACCCTCGACTTCTAAGCAACTAATGGCTACAAGTTCCCCTCCAAATCCATCACACAAGCACCAATATGCAGACAAATCGAGTAAATCACAGGGCAAGGTTGAAAAAAGAAAAACACATATAACCAAGAGATTTCATTTTTACCTGAATAAGGGGAGTTGATGTCAGAAGAGGAGGTGGAGGCAGGCACTGGAGGTGGAGGCGATGGGGAGTCGGCGGAGGAGATGGGAAGGCGTTGGGTCGAGTCGGAGGTGGGGAGGAGGGGAGGGTTTGGGTGGGCGGCCGGTTTGGGTGGACGGCGGTGTGCGGCGGTGTGCGTGAGGAGGAGGCGGCGCGCGGTGGGAGAGGAGGAGGAGGTGGGGCGCGGTGGGAGAGGAGGACGAGGTGGCACGTGGTGGATTTGGCGGAGAAGGCGGTGACGTGCGCAGTCGATTTGGCAGAGGAGGCGCGCGCGGTGGAACGGGACACGAGGTGGCGGCGCTTAGGTTTTTTTTTGTCAATTTTCTTTTTGGCGTGGATTTTTTTTGGTGTAGGTGCCAAAATAATTTTAGCTAGCCAAATCCCGGTAACAAAATTCCCGGCAGATAATGTGTTGTCTTAAATTATTTATGGCAGATCAATTGACCTGTTATATTAGTTCATTGCCGGCACTTAATTTGCTGCCATATTTTTTTAATTCCCGGCAAATGAGATGATGTTCAAGATTATTTCCAGCACTTGATATATTTCCGGCACATAGTTCGCCACTAACTTTATTTTATTGCCGGCAGTTAAGTGCCATGAATACTTGGTTATGGTGTAGTGAGGAGGGGGGGATGCCCGGGAGAGAAGAGAAAGGGAGGGAGGAAGGAAGAACTTCGGCTGCGGGCCGAGGAGGAGAGAGGAAGACTTTGGGCCAGACTTGGCTCAAAGGAGGAAGCATGATTATTTTTAATTTTCTTTTTAATAAACTTTGTTAAAATTGGAGGTCAGTGATTCTGAATTGTAGGACATTATCTCATTCCTTTTTGAGGCATTGCTAATACAAAACTGAAAAATTGTTAACTATATCTTGGTGTTAAACTTGTTAATATCATCTAGGACTTTGAAATGTGTGGGATTTTGAAATGCTAGAGCATCATTCTTTTCTTCTAAGGGAGCAATAATGAGTGAACAGAAACAATGAGTGAAGGATGCTCCAAAAGATGGAACAACAGTTGGCATTCTTCCTTTAAACATTCTGAAAATGAGTGTACGAACATAATTTGAAGATTAGTATATATAGACAAAAAAATTACCATGTGGAATTAGTCCCTTTTTTTAAGTTCATCACTTGAGAACCTTTGGAAGGAAAGGATTTCGGTTATGAAACCAGTTTTCTCGTGTAAAATATGATACAAAACTTCATACGTGGTACTTTGCATTGTTAGCTTCTGGTTTAGACAACAGAAGTTATCTCCTTCCAGCTTATATCTTTATTGTCCATAGGCATTCTTGTGTTTGTGCCCATTGTTAAATTCCAGTCAAGGAAAATGGGAATGAATTTTGATTGCAGCTTCTTTCCTTGAGTTCCGGACCAATTCTCTAGCTCAGAAAACCGAGTCTAATTCGACTATTACAATCTTGTCGAAAACTGGATAATGCAGCGCTATCTTCAATGTCAACTATAGTATCAGGCATGGTAGCTAATTCATATGTGTATGTGAGTATGTCCCTATTATCTAAGCCCAGGTCAAAATGGCCTTTGGAAAGCTATATGATACAATGTTAGATAAGATGTAACGATGGCATGAAGAATAATTACATGCAAAGATTTTTTAGAAGAGATGATTCTTGCTTATTATATATATTTTTTTTGATTCTACGACTTTTGGTCAGCACAAGTTCTACAGTGCGTCATCATACAAGTATCTTTTTTACATTTTACAATTGTCGTCAATTAACCTCTATTGCATTAGCTCTTTGGATTTTTATAATGCCTAAAATAAACTGGCCAGACAATGGGATGTACGGTCCTCTTCTAGGTACATACACGTATTTCATTTCTTCTGCTCAATGTACAGACTAACATAATACTAAATGCATCATATTATATACATGTATATCCAGATGTTCGAGACGACCTAATAAACGATATCGTCCTCCATGATCAGGTGAAGATTGCCTTAATATGTAGGGCAATCAACCTAGAACCGAGCGAAGCTGGCACTACCTCATCTCCTGAGAGGGATTGATTTGGAAGTGAACTGAAATCGATAATGACAAACAAATATTACTTTTTTTTGCATTTGGTTATCATGTAATGAATAAACAATTAAGGTTTAGTTCATGAATTACCAATGTATCGCTTACAATAATATTATTTTTACTTGGTTCCTACTACGATTCTTTAATGATGTACACTAATTATATTTTCTTCAATTTTATGTAATAACGTGCCTTGCACGTGCACGCTCACTAGTTAAATAAAAGTTAAAGCAATTTAATCAAGTGAAATATTGAGGGAATTAAAATTTCCTTTAAAAATCATTGGCCAAGAATATTTTGTAATATTCTTTGTGCCCTAATACACTCTCTGGATTTTTCCGTGAATTTTCGGAGCTCAAGAAGTAATTTTAATAAGCACAAAGATCATTTAATCAATTAATTAAAAAGAAAAACAAATAAAATCCTCCTTCCTCTCTTTGGGCCTTTTTCGGCCCAAGCCTTCCTTCTCTCCCGCGGCCAGCGCGCCCCATTCCTTCTCTTGGGCCGGCCCAGCTCGGCTCCCCTCCACCCCTAAGTCTGCTTAACCCCTCCCCTTGGGGCTCCTCCCTCTCTCCCTCCCCGACAGGTGGGCCCGGCGACCCCACCTGTCAGGCCCTTCCTCTACCTTCGGTCTCCAGAGCATAAGCCACCATGGCCGGCCGTTGCCGCCCACGTCGCCCCCGATTCAGGCCTCTCCCGCTCACACCCTCGCGCCCAAACCGAGTGAAATCGGCCTCTACACTCTCCCGACGTTTCCCCCAAAAATCGCGCCAGGATCGAGCTCCACTTCGCCCACAATGTCGCCCACGTCGCCAGCGGTTGCCGCCCCAAATCCATCTCGCCCGGCCTCCCCGTCGCCCCTGAGCGCTATAAAACTCCTCCCCGCATTCCCCTCGCTCGTTTCCCCCATTTACCCGAGCTCCTCGCGCCCTCTCTCGTGCTCCCCGCGTGACCCCATGCTCCGCCGCTCGCCGCCGTGCCTCCAGCCGCCGCTCGCTGCCGTTCCCGCGTGTCGGCACCGGCCGCCCCTTGCTAATGTCAGCGATTGTCTTTTCCTTTGAGAAAATATTTAATAATTGTGCAATAAATCATTAATAATTCTTGAAATTCATTTAATTCATTTGAACTCCAAATTGAGCCATTCAACTTGCAAAATTCATATAAAATTGAGCTCTACATGTTTGTTTACTTTTTATGTACTGTTTGCTTGGTTTTTATTAGTGTTTTTCCTCGTTTTGCGTGGCAGCGTGTAGTATCTGTCGTTTCGGAAGATCGCGGTCGCGAGGAAAAGAGTTCGGAAGATCAAAGTGAAGAAGCAAGGCAAGTCACACATTCCCCTTGAGCATATTGAGCCTATTTTTTAAATGTTTTCCCGTTTGCAAATAAATATGCATGTTTTGCTAATTACATGGGATCAGGGTTTACCAATCTGCTCGCTTGTGCCATGTTTACTTGATATCTGTCCTTTGTCAACCTTGGGTGATAAATCGACTAGCTCATGTGTCACGCCCGGAAATTCACTAGTAATTTCCGAACTTATTTGTGCATAAAATCCTCGTCCAGGAATCAGCCGAGGTACACAAACTGACAATTTAATATACAGATCCATCAAATTAACTATAACGATAAATACTTACTTATGAG